CCCCAAATCTCTCTACCCATCCCCATCTCAACTCCCTTCCTTACTAACAAAGTCACACGCGGTTGAGTCTGTTATCTAAGCAGTTTTTTTTACAGCCGGTTTGAGTGTTGCTAGTATCTCTATAAATACTTGTTCGTGATACCCTCACACCACCTGTCTGTGTGTCGTTTTGGTACAGTTTGCTGTAGATACTTCGCTACCTTAAAATTATAAAAGTTCTATCTGACTTTTTTGCCATTTTGAGTTACTAAGAACATGAGGTCAGAAACCAAATGCTTCATCTGCTCTATCAAAATCGTGAGATTATTCGGAGACATTATCAAAATGTGAGGCAGCGTGGTGGAATCAGGCTCTCGTCAAAATACTCAAAGCGAAGAAACTTGCATTTTTTCCGCAAGTTTATGAATTTTTATCAAGTTTTTGTTTTTTGGCTCAACACCTTTCATGCCTATTAAAGAACTGATCTCTGTGGACAATTTTCTGAAAAACGTTGATTAAAGGCACATAAAATGTAAATTTTCAGTTATCACAGACTCTTAAGCTAAGGAAATGTATAATTTTTTGCAGCCATTTTCTCACTATTTTTACTTCTGAAAACAGGTGACCTCCACCTCCTTCTTTCGCAAATATCTCGACTTGTATGTATTCAAGATAAATGGATATTTTTTTTCACCAAAATAAAAACAATTGAACAAGCCTTAAGATGATACCAAAAACTCTACCTGCCCAAAAATTGACGACGGCCTGAATATTTAAAAAAAATGATATTAGAAAAACCTTGACATGTTGTGAAACTCAAACATTTTAACGTCATTTTTTCTCACAAGTAGGTACCGAACAGATTGAGTTTTTAAATTCTAGCTTAGCGGCTTGTTTCTGAAATATTCATGTAACCTTTTTATGTGTTGTTTCGATTCGGTTAACAAGCACAGAAATAGATGTTTGTGCATAATATAGCCTTCCCTACATCTATTTCTGTCTTGTTTTGGTTCAGTTAGAATTCACAGAAATAGTTGTTCGTGCATACAGCCTTCCCTCCATCTATTTCTGTCTTGTTTGGTACAGTTAGAATTCACAGAAATAGATGTTCGTGAGATCCCCTACGCTTACGTACACGTTTGTGAGTCCTTCCTTCACCTCGGCGACTCTGGTGTTACGTTTAGGCACTTCCTTGCCGCACGCAGGTGACCCGAGTTTGATTCCCGAGTGGAGAGATTTTCCATCAAATCAAATAATATCTCGGTTTTTCTTCTTGGATGTTGCTTCCCTCTCAGTCTTTGTTGCCCTGACTGGTATATAATTTAATCTAAAACGTTGTTGAGCGCCTGATTCTACCGTGTCGTAACACATGGTCATAAAAGAGCTTTTTATTTTAGAGCATCCGAGCAAAGAAATGAATGGCGAACCATGACTGCCGATATGTCTCTCAGATCTGCTACGACTTAATGATAATAATAATATAACATTTGTATGGCGTATAACCCCATCATAGATTACAAAAATAATTCTTCCCTCCCATGTGTATGGTTACATGTGATCACAGATTACAAAAATAATTCTTCCCTGCCATGTGTATGGTCACAAGTGATAGATTACACAAATAATCCTTCCCTTCCTTGTGTATGTGTGTGTGACCAGGGCCTCGTCCACCTCCAATCGCATCCGAGACCCGCACGGAATACTTCACTGTGTACAGTA